CTTTTTCCACCACTGCCTATTTGGCCCATGGTGTTACAGACCAAGTAAAAAAGCATTAATAATTAATGTCAAGCCCTTCACAATGTAAAAAACGTTTTTAAAAGTCTCATGCAATGTAGGCCTGCATTGAAAATCATAGAAGTCAAAAGCTATTTCCATGTGATAATGTTATGGGATTTGCTCCATTGGTTTTGCTGGGAGGCCTATATTATGCTCAAATAGATGGGCTCCCGAGTGGCACAGCTGTCTAAGGCACTGCATCTCAGTGCTTGAGGCCTCACTACAGACCCCCTGGGTCGATTCCAGGCTGTATCACAACCGGCCGTGATTGGGAGTCCCATAGGGCGGCTCACAATTGGCCCAGCGTCGTCCGGGTTTGTCCGGTGTAGGCCGTCATTGTAAATAAGAATTTGTTCTTAACTGACTTGCCTAGTTAAATAAAGGTAAAATAAAATAGCCACAATAGCCTATTGGCTACTGTCTGAAACGGTAAGGGTACAGCCTCAGTGTTCACTGTAAACGCGGGCCGGAGGTTGCACAACATTCTCACAAAGTTCAAGGTTCCGCTCACAATTCCCATTCCTAGTGAGTTACCTGTCTATAGTTGTCTGACTGTACGAAGTACAATTATTGATGTGAATGATGGTACAGTCCCAGACCATCACTGATGTAGTTAACACAATCCTGGATGTTGTAAATCCAGCAGGACTACAGGAAGTAATCTCCAAGGGTAAGGTTGTAAATCCAGCAGGACTACAGGAAGTAATCTCCAAGGGTAAGGTTGTAAATCCAGCAGGACTACAGGAAGTAATCTCCAAGGGTAAGGTTGTAAATCCAGCAGGACTACAGGAAGTAATCTCCAAGGGTAAGATCCTCACTCTGTCCCATCATATAGTTGATGAACTCCAAAACCTGATTTTGAAACACACAAACCTGTTTGTTATGGAACCAGTGGCAGCGGGGAAAAGTGTGTTAGACATTGTTCTATCGACTTTCGCAATGAGGGAAAAACAATCAGGGAAGCTCTTTTCCTCTGAGCCTGTGTATGCCTTTGCTGAAGTGTCAGTGAATAAGTTACTGTTCCCTCTTCTCATCCCTGCCTCTTGCGAAAACTCTGCAGTCTCCAACAGCTCTTCACAGCTCTATGACAATGTTGGGAATCTGTTCACAATGGTCCATCAAGTCATGGACAACATTAGAAAGCAAGCAACATCTGAATCATCTGTTCTCCCCTCTGAGGTTGAGAAACAGAGTGATGCCAATCTTCCTCAGATTGAGGCTGTTCAGCTTCAACTCAAAGGTAGACAAGAGATAGAGGTTCTGGTTAAAATGTTCCTATTACATTTTAAAACACTTTTATTACAACACTATTGCAACACTATTATTTAAGTGTTGATCATGGATATACCGTTCTCTTGCCACACAATATAATAATCCAACAACAACAATATTATTTCTCAGTTGCTAATGACTAGCAATGTGAAGTGTACAAGGAGTTGAAGAAATGCACTAACCATTTTGTTCATTAACATTGTCTTTTTTTGTATGGTAACAATTAGTGCTCCAAAAAGATCAACAAGAAGAAAAGACAGGTCTCAAAGGAAGCACAGGACCAGGCTAAGTTTCCACACGAGGATGACTATTGCATACGTAAATCCATACATTAAGACACCTCTGCTATAAATTATTATTAACTGTGTAGATAGAATTATGCATTTAGAATTATGAATTTGAATCCACCAACAATGTTTTATGCCTCCACATGGATAGTCCTTACCGTAAATAAAAAATAGTTGGAGTGAAAATGTTTGATGAACACAGTCGTGTTCGTGTCCACTCTCTCTCCTGTCACCTAGCCCCCTGCATCGTTCTTCAAGCTGCCATGTTTCCAATAGAGGAGGATCTTCCATCTACACGTATCTCTCAACCACAGGAGAAACCATCCAAACGCTCCCTCTTTGTGAGGATATTGTCAGCCATCGGAACACATTCGAACAGTCCCCCAACAGGACCTTGTAAAGGACTAAAGACTCACTTTAGTATACTTCTCATTAAATCATTTCATTGCATTCATTTAATTGTATTTCGGTTCTTTTCTGAATCTATCAGATTTCACATCAAATCAAATCAAGATGTATTTGTCATATGCGCAGGATACAGCATAAACGGTGCAATGAAATGCTTGCTAACGAGATTCCTCAACATTTCACTAAATAGTAAATGAGCAGTAAAACTAGAACAATCACAATACAAATACTATGTGAATAGTAAAATAATTGAGAATAAAGTATTTTAAAAAGAAAGAAAAACAAGAATAATTTATTGTAAAATGTAAATAATATACTGTGGATATACTATGTCAGTGTACTGTTATACTGTATACAAGTAGTAAAGTGAATAGTGACTAGTTAGGAGCGAGGTAGAGAGGTATATAATAATAATAGAGGCAGCAGGGGTGTCTGTGTGGGTGGGTTTGTGTGCGTGCATGCGTGAGTGAATTTGTGTTTGTGTGTTTGAAGTGTGAATGCAGAGAGTCAGTGCAAATAGCCTTAAGGACAGCCAGGGGTTAGCTGTTCAACAGTCTTATGGCCTGGATGTAGAAACTGTCTCTGAGCATGTTGTTCCTTGCTCTGATGCTCTGAGACTGCCTGCCAAGATGGTAAGGGACAATACAGTCCGTGGCTGTAGTCTCTGGAAATCTTCTGGGCCTTCCTCAGACACCACCTGGTGTAAATGTTGTGTAGGGCTGGGAGCTCGCCCCCAGTAATGGACTGGTCAGTCTTGACAACTCTCTGTGGAGCCTTACGGTCAGACAATGTGAATATAGCTTGAACTGTAGTTGTCTCACCAGCAGATGGTAGAATTTCTTCAATACCGTCTCTCCAACAGCAAGATGCACTATGCTATAGTCTTTTTTTAGAGAAAGAGAAACCTTTTTAAATGACCATTAGCCACAACAGTTAGATTTGATTAGGTCATTATAACATGAAGTTAACTTTAAATATTCAAAACAAACTGAACTAATGGGAAGTTATGGGACAGTATTGCAGCCCCTTTTGGGGCTGGAGCTAGGGTTAGGATTAGGGCTGGTGCTAGGTTTATCTTGAAGATGTAAAATGAGACTCAAATAAAGGCTCTAAAATGTGCTCTGAACTATTTGGAGGAGGAAGTTGGGATGGGTTGGAATGTTTGGGAGCGCTCCCTGCTTCTTCGTCAGGAAATGAAAAAGGCAAGTAAACAGTGAACAGCCTGGATGCTTACACTGTGTGTATATTTATGAGAGCTGGAGTTCATAGGAAAGCTTAGTCAGCCAACATCACATTCTAACAGTCTGAATACTTCACACAAGTGTGTTTGCAGGAAATCCTCCTTATCTATTACAGAACCAATCCTTCCTGAATACACTGTATGGATACAGGTAGCTCCCATTCTGATGAAACAGAGATTAGAAAAGTAAAAATGTTCTTGTTACACATTAAATGTTTATTATTATTGACATGCTGGGGGGGGGGGGGTCACTTTAGTGCAAAATATATAGAATCAACAGATTTAAGGCAAATACCAGATCAAGTATTGTACAACAATTGTAGAAAGTTATTTTCCCCATATGGTTTACTACCAAAACCTTTCTGTTAATAAGATGACATCACCATTTTAAACAAGGACACACTTGATCCACACTAGACCTATCTAACTACAGTACGTTGTAACAAGAACCCCAAATTCCCTCAAAGAATTCATTGTTTGAGTGAGTCGGCACTGATTTCTAAAGGGAAGAATACTGGTAACTTTGTGTGACGTTTGTCTTGTGTTACTACACTAGAATAGGAACGTCCTAAACAGGGGATGACACATCTCTTGATACCTACCAGGAAATGACTCTAGGGCTGACTGTATTGACTAATAACCCTCCGTGCCAGAGTCTGGTCGAGCTGTGAAACTCTCAATTCCCAGACCACACATGCCTCCAAGGCGAAGGGATCAAATCGCAACTCGGCCGTTCGTCTAAAGCCCTTCCTCACTGTTTGTTCTATACATGTCTCCCGACTTCCTACTGTCCTGTAAAAATATATAATAATAAATAAAACAAAGGGAAGGAGATCGGAGCTCCTGGTCTATAAGAAAAATACCTCTCTGCCAAACCACATACAGTACAAATCTCTTGACATCCACAAGGAGATTACTCTAGGGGTGACCGTATCAATCAATAAAAAAACACATACAGTATAAATACATAAATATATTATAAATAAATAAATAAATACATGCATACGCAAACAAATTAAATTCAAATACACAAATAAATGATATCCCGGTACTTCATAAATATATATATACAAAATAAAAATAAGTATAAATAAGTATCACAGAGACTGTCAACAGACAAATCAAATCAAACAGCGGCCATTGTTTATCTTACATCAGAGTTAGTGGAAGTGCAGGCGGGGACTTGCCACTATCTGGCAGCTATCAGTGTTGCTTTATCTCAAGGAAACTCTGAGACAGCCATCAGAGGTGGGGTCGAGTGGCAGGACAAGCTAAGAACAAAACCCTCATGGGGAGAAAGAGATAAAGAAAAGCAGGCACTCAGTCCTTGACCAGTTGCTATTGTACCAATTGATGGGGAACAGATAGAGCAAGGCTTGAACCAGCTCCCTGCAGTTACAGGATGAGGTCCAGACGTTGGCAGATAGAGGGACGCTACACAATTGGTTTTGATGCCATCCCCAATCTCAGATAAGTAAAGTGCTCCGCTTGCTTCATGTTTTCCAATGTCCCGTTTGACCTTGATTGACAAATTAGATAGAAAGACTGAAGCAGACTCGAACAGAAATGAAATATGTTTTAGCCAGGCTACATCACTACGCAGTTGCCTCAGAAGTCCAATAGGCTTCTGGCACGGACGACCCACCTCCGGTCCTCCATCCATGTCTGCACAGGTTTTGCTGCTGCTGTAGAGTGTAGCCCAGCCCCTTTGTCCTGGCCTGAAGGGGTGCCGTTCAGCCCCTCTGTCCTGGCCTGGAAGTCAGGTGTTCGACGTTGCGCAGGCTGCGTTTTAGATTCTGTGTGAAGTCACGGAGCTGCAGCAGGGTAAAGTGAGTGGCAACCTGAACCTCGTACTCCCCTGGGAGGCGTGAGGCCAGCCCCGAGGCCTCGTACAGGGCTACACTGCTCATCTGGCCCGGCTCCTGCATCTGAACAAACCAAAAACACACACATACAGAAGGTTATTAACCAAAACGAACATCTCAAGTGTGATGTTATGAGTGTAGGACCTCTATGATATGTGTGTATCTGTGTGTGATCTTGTGCCAGTGTGCATGCCTGTGCAGATGTGTCTACTTCTATTACTCAGTGAGTTTGTGTGTCTGTGTCTGTGTGTGTGTCTGTGTGTGTGTGTGTGTGTGTGTGTGTGTGTGTGTGTGTGTGTGTGTGTGTGTGTGTGTGTGTGTGTGTGTGTGTGTGTGTGTGTGTGTGTGTGTGTCAGTCTCACCTTGTTGACCTGGGCCAGCAGATCTCTGATGTCAGCCAGGAGTCCTGTCACCTCGTCAGTGGTCACACGCTCCTTCAGCACACCCAGCACATCCTGATACAGCTGCAGTCCCGCAGACACACTGCTCAGACACACCTCCTGTAGGGGGAAGCACACAGCAGGTCAGACAACTAACCTGGACCATGTCCAGTAGGCTAGGACACAACGCAATAAGGAATCGTGTCAGAACTATTCATGTCAGCTTTATTATTCTATCTGCAACATTCAGGAGAACCATAGCATTGTTGCACCTTCACAAACACATGCAAACACACACGCACACACTCACCAGGGTGAAGTCGATTTGGTTTAGGGGTCTGCAGACAGTCCAGAGTTCTGGTGCTGCGGGGATGCCCAGGGAGGTCACCATGGTCTGGTACTGCATGTTCCTAGACTGGCTGGACGGGTCAAGGGTCAGGCCCTAGGAGAACAGGAGTGGTGTGGTTATAGAGCTGGAGCCAATATGTAATGCATGATATACAGTACCAGTCAAAAGTTTGGACACACCTACTTATTCAAGGGGTTTTCTTTATTTTTACTATTTTTTACATTGTAGAATAATAGTGAAGACATCAAAACTATGAAATAACACATATGGAATCATGTAGTAACCAAAAAAGTGTTAAACAAATCAAAATCTATTTTATATTTGAGATTCTTCAAATAGCCACTCTTTGCCTTGATGACACCTTTGCACACTCTTGGCATTCTCTCAACCAGCTTCATGAGGTAGTCACCTGGAATGCATTTCAATTAACAGGTGTGCTTTCTTAAAAGTTAATTTGTGGAATTTATTTCCTTCTTAACACGTTTGAGTCAATCAGTTGTGTTGTGACAAGGTAGGGGGGTATACAGAAGAATGTCCATATTATGGCAAGAACAGCTCAAATAAGCAAAGAGAAACGACAGTCCATCATTACTTTAAGACATGAAAGTCAGTCAATACGGAACATTTCAAGAACTTTGATAGTTTCTTCAAGTGCAGTCGCAAAAACCATCAAGCGCTATGATGAAACTGGCTCTCATGAGGACCGCCACAGGAATGGAAGACTCAGAGAAGATTTCATAGTTTTGATGTCTTCACTAATATTCTACAATGTACAAAATAGTAAAAATAAAGAAAAAACCTTGAATGAGTAGGTGTGTCCAAACTTTTGACTGGTAGTTTGTATATATATATATATATATATATCCTGGTGTTGCTGACTATCAGGCAGTGAGCAGGTTGGTACTGAGTGAGTGAATGGTGGGGAGGACCAGAGTGGTGTGTGCGTTGAGGGCACTGGTTGAGAGAGTGCTGCAGCAGAAGCAGCTGAGTCAACAAGCCAGAGCAGCACTCGCGCACATCGTGACAACTTTTGACCAGTTGTAGGTAGGCTATTTAGATCTGTAATTATGGAGACACCCTTTTTCCATAAAACATATTAACGCGCTAGAACTGATATAACGGCGACAAAGCATTGGAAAAGGACTTTAGGCGCACTACAGCGCTTTAGATAAATTCGCTCCGAAGTGGTTTAAAGTCAACTGCATTCTAATGTTGACTTTTCTTATGGATAACGGTATCAAGCGAAGGGTTTTACTCATGCTCAGGTCTAGGGTCTGGAGTGCTGCGTGAGTGAGTGAGTGGAAATTTGAAATGGAAGTTATGGAACTCCCTCGCGTGCTTCTGTTATGGGAAAAAGTCCACAATGAAAATGACATTAAATGTGGGAAATGATACGCTGCATTTGCATCTGTTGGCCATCAAGTATGCTATTCACTGGAGTCATGCAAATCAATTTGTGCCATTTGTGTAGCCTATCTGGAGCTGGCAAACAGATTTAATAAATAGCCTATAACTCAGTGTTTTGTTGTAGCCTTGTGTTATTATGCAATTGTTAATGGCCATGTTAGTTAATTAAATTGGAAGTTATTAATTGTGATCAGGTCACAGCTCTATCGCGAATGTATCATTCTCCACATTTAATGTCAGTTTCATTGTGGACTTTACCCTGAAATGAGATGTTGTCCTTTCGGGGGCTATAGGCTACCTGCATCTAGCTACGCAGACCATGGCAAAGTTGAATTGCAATTATAAACCCAGATTTTAGTCAGTAGCCTATTGAAATAACAAGTCGATCTCGCAAATAGACCATTTATAACGGTTTGTAGTCTTAACATCTGGCACATAATGAAGGCACAATTGCCAGAAAATAGCTTAACATTCGTTTTTTTGAAGTTCTTCCAAGTGTTTCTTGCACAGAGATTGAGATCCTCTCCAACTTTCATCACTCCAACTCAAACCTGCCAGATGTATCTATAGTTATGCACACGCTCAAACAGGATTTATTTACCATTATAAATTCTGTGGTTTGAGCCCTGAATGCTGATTGGTTGAAAGCCATGGTATATCATACTGTGTACCATGGGAATGCACAACAATTATTTTTACTATTCTAATTACATTGTTAACCAGTTTATAATAGCAATAAGGCTCCTCAGGGGTTTGTGGTATATTGGCCATATACCACACCTCCTAGGGCCTTATTGTTTAATCATAGCTGTCAAAACAATTTAAATCGACATCCATTGATGGAAAATGATCTGGAGAATTTAATAAGTGCGATTTATATTTTCTCTTGCAACATTCTTCAACTTCCAATAATTATTTTTTTGATGGAAAACCGAATTTTGCTTCTTAGCCTACTTTGTTAAAAATGAAGTTGATATTCCTTCTTAATTCGCTCAATAACGTTATGGAAAAAGGGTTTCGTGGATAAATGTGGCAACTCTGTTGCACCTTTTTGTTAAAGGGCTAGTTTTCAGGCCTTGTGGGCGTGTTTTCAGAGGTCATTGTGCTAAAAAAATTATCTAGACCTGGCAACACTGCTGCCTGCCGATTTGAAGTGCTTCCTACTGAGTATCAAGGTCGTGTCGCCAGCGGTAGCTAACGTGGCATTCGTTTCTCTCACACAATTTTATTTGAAGTAGGATAGCAGCCTACACAAGAAATAACTAATATTGATAACCATCTAGATGTCACCTTGATACATATCCTACATACAGTCTGCTACTCAATAGGGAGGGCATGAATGGCAACACCGGGACACAGTGCCCTTCGTTCCTACTCGACAAGCACTAGGCCTACTGTCCTGCAACAGCATGGGAAGTAGCTACCTAGTAGCCGGCCTGCAACAGCATGGGAACTAGCTACCTAGTAGCCAATATCAGGGTGACAGGCAGAGTAATCACATGCATACAACGCATGAAGTAACATTACAACCATCATAAAAATAAAATAAAAAAATAGTCAAATTTGTAAATTAAAATGTACTATTATTTTAAATACAACTCAGACTCATCCTCTGGCTTAAAAACAGAAGAAACTCCAGTACGGTAGCTCAATAGTAGTTGCGTCATAAGAAACGGAAGGGGGAAAAACACAACTCAATCAAAACCGTCTAACCTATAGCTTTCGACACACCCATTCCTTTCGACACCCACTAGCCCATACTCCGATCGTCATATTGGGACGCAGCAACCCATTCTCGCCTAAAAGGGAATTTCCTCTTTGTCTAATGGTCTAAGAACATTGGTTGCTCCCGTGGGACACTCGAGTTCATATCCCGCGGGTTACAAGTGTTACACATTTACCTGCAGCTATAGGTGATAGGTATTGTTCTTTGTTAGAAAGCCTGCTTTGCATTACTCAGTTTAAATGTGCCCTGCCGCCTGCTAGGACCTGTTTTATGCACAAATGGTTTAACATAATCCAACGGTCATTTCAACCCAAATCGAGCATTAAAGACCATACAAAGCTGCGTATTTAGACTTACCGTGATGTTGACACTAGACCCGTGAACCACAGGGATGTTGCCTAGTATTTTTTCGACCAAACTCATTGCGACCACTGACTTCTCTGGAATAGGTGCGGACCGGGCCAGAAAAGCTAAACAGCAGAGCAGACCTACAACTTTGAGAAAGAAAAAACTGTTGCAGAACGACTGTACGATGCTAAAGATCCTTAACAAGTTCAACTGTGAGGCACAGTCAGTGCTGCTCAGAACCGTATTCAAGAAAGGCGCACGTGCCATAGTTTATTGGAGGTACGCAGTAGCCACGCACAATAAAAATGTTTCGGAGCCTTCCACTCAAAATATGTCGAAACTGTTCTCATTTTCTTCAGACAATATTTTTCAAAACAGAATATTGTTTCCAAGTTTAAAAAAAAGTTTAATCAAGCAGAGTAAATACACTAATTAAAAATATCATATAAAATATCACTTACTTTTGAGAGTGTTCATTCCTCTGTATGGTTAGTCTATTTTGCTAAAGATTCTTTCTTATCTCCCATTTGAAGGAGACGTGAAGTATTTATATGAATGAAATTACGTTTCATGGGAATTTCCACTGAGGGGTTATTTACACCTGCAATAGTGAGTGACTAAGAGATGATTAGGCTACCTCCTGAACAAGAGCAAATACGTACATTTAACAATATAAATTAATTGGATTAAAGCTGCGCTCATGATAAAAAAAAAAAGGTAAATAGCCTATTAGGCTATCAATACAGAAACTACATTTAAGCCTAATTGTTCTATTCTGCTGTTTTACATTTATTATAATGCTATTGTTATATTACTAGGCCCAATATTATTTTATTTCCTATAAGCTTATTATGAAGCACTTTGAGCTGCATATTATGAGACAAATACATGAAACAAAGCTATTAATTAATTATCTAATTGCCATCCATTCTGCACTCTCCATCCACTCTGTCCTGACTTGCGATCCCTCCACTGTCACTCCTGCCCTACTGGACTCCCTAATGTTTAACTGTATGTTCAATACTTTTTTTTATATGTGAAGTGTCTTGAGACTTATGCAATGCACTTTAAATAGGCCTAGCTGGTGACTTGACTTGATTATTATGCCTATAGGCTATAATTGATAGTATCATTATTTTACTCTTTATTTTAAATGTGTATGGGAAATTCATTGTAGCCTATCATTCAGAAACATTTCACATTCGTTTTTGAATAAATTCAGTAGCCTGAAGTGGACGGTCGCGCTGCGGACAATAGGCGATGCTTGAAAATAGCTATCTGCGATATATAAAAAAATCGCACATGTAGCTATGTTGACATCATGGCGAGCTATGACTGAAAACAACCTCAATACATTTTAGTGACGTTCATGTACGCTACATTACTCAGGAAAAATAAATGTACTTAATTTCACAACTCCAGTTGTAGCTGTTTGACGTTTCACTGAGAGTAGGCCTATACAAAGGAAATAAGGTTGGTTTATCTAATGCAATTAAAGATTAATATCCCCATTTGTGAAATCTTTATTTCCGCACTAAGTAGCCTAGTACACACCAAGAACAGTAGTCCTACCACTGGGCACAGACGTCAATGTAACGTCTATTCCATGTTGGTTCAACATAATTTCATTGAAATGACAACAACGTTGATTCAACCAGTATGTGCCCAGTGCCCTACTTCAGGCTATGGGCATTGCGGAATGACATCAAGTCCACACACATCTCGATTGCAAGGTGTGCTCTTGACCACAAATCATTTTCTTAGGTAATAACTGGCCTCATTCAGAGCTTCTTATTGTATCATTTATCATGCCGTTTATTAATAGCCTATATCACTTCCACTATTGACATGACAGTGCTGTAGGCTAGTTTTATGATATCAATGACTTTCTAATGTAGCTTAGGCCTTTCCCAGTTGTTGTTGTGCCTACCAGTAATGCTAAGCTCTTGAATATCGAATGTATCATTATGACTGATCCCTGACAGTATGATCTATCCATTTTGCCGAGTACCTTGACATTTTAATATTCAATTTGCACCTTAGTAATTGAGTTATCAAGCATGACGCTCTTATATTTTGTTCTCTTGAAATCTTATTGTCCACTTTGAACCTATCCATTTTCTGAAGTATTATCAAAGACATGAGTATTATCAAAAGAAAGACTTATAAGTATTATCAAAAGCTATATCTTAATTTAACAAATTAAATCAATAAAACATTTGACAAATAATCATAACCAGTCAGTAGGCCTATTTTAATCTATGCAAGGACCATTGCTACTGTTCAAATTAAACTGACTTTCCACAACCATCATTACCTTAAAATAGGCATTGAACTGTATGTCTGGGGTTGCATCCCAATAATCTCTCCCTTCTTATGAAGTGTGACTCCTTCACAAGTCTCCACATATTGAAAAGCATTGGATTGGTGTCGGCATGGGCACTTGTTCACTTTGCTTCATGAATGTGACAGGAAATGACTGCTATATTAAATGACTGCATTATATGACTAGTTTATATTATACCAGTCATTTCCTTTCAAATACATGAAGCGAAGTCAACAAGTGCACACTTCGTGAGAAAATAGATATAATTGGGCTGCACCTAATGTGATGAGAGGCGGGAGGAAGAGAGGGGGCTAAGTTAAGAAATCAGATGAAGGAACAGGAGCTTTGAACAATGGGGTAGAACAAACATAAACTAGCTGAGCTCAATGACACACAGTTCTGAAGAGGGCAAACACATTCATTGATTTCCTAAAGGTATTTTGAAATGTGAGTTTCCAGGTAACTGCATTTTAGAAAGCAGCTGTCAAGATGTTTCATTGCATTGCGCAAGAAGAGCCAACATCATTCCTGACGGACAAGCTACAAATACAAGGTGCTCTGTGCCAAATGGCTCTTAGCTTGCCAGACATTCAATGTACAAATGAATGTTCACCAAGTGAGGAATAAAATTGACAAATACGTTTTATTTCTGTGCCGGCCTCAGTCAGTACAGATACACCAAATGCTTCTCCCAGCAAGGACTTAAAAAGTAGAGAGATTTCAATTGGGGACAAGTTTACAGTGACACATATGACCAAGTCTAAAAACAGTGACAATGAGGACCAGTGGTAGGATTGAATTTAGGTGTTCTGACTGTAGGTTAGAATTGTAACATACATATATAATGTTATAATGGCCTTGTGCCTGCAGAGAAACAAACCAACAACTATTACAAGAGGGAGGGAGGAGGGAGGGAAAGGTAAAAAAACAACAAGGAATCTTTGCACTCTCTCCTCTCAGAGGATCATGGGAAACGACAGCACTCTCCCCTCTCAGAGGATCTTGGGAAACTGTTGTCTTCATCTTCGGCCATCTCCTTGGCGAACTCCAGGTCCTGCTATCCTTGCCAGTGATATATGTGACTACGACAGGCTGATCATACGCACACCTACAGGGAGATACACAGTGAGAGATTGTGTTAAAGGTATACTTCAGGATTTTGGCAATGTATGCTAGCATGCTAGCAGATACCCATAGACTTCCAGTCAACACTAGTTAGCATTGGCCCACGAAACTAGCTCTAACCTCCTTCATACTGGACACAGACACATAAAAATGGTATCCACAAGTTTATCTATCCCTTTAAATATCAACAAGTCATGCAGGTATTAAAAATGAAGAGCTATGGCCAAAAACTGTTAAAAAGAAGAGGAAGCCATTTGAAAATGTGAAGTGAAAGACTTGACCACTGACCTGTCTTTGAGTGCATGCATCTTTCAACTTTCAAAGATGGAGAGGGACAGTTCATGGCTTGATCAGTGGAAGGTGGTCAGGGAGATCGTTGATGAAGATTAAGTCTGGTGACGATCTTGTAGAGGGTTACTCTGGAAACCAGCCTGAGTAGTGTAGGCACTGGACTTCTACTTCACAATGTATGGCACCCACTTGGGTAATGCCTCAGCAGCTCTGGGTGCCAGAAAGCTTACCACACACAGTCCCGAGTAGTAGCCACTACTACAATAAATCAACAAATCTACAATAATCGAGAATTTCAACAAGCATTTTGCCAAGGCTGGCCATGCTTTCCACCTGGCTACCACTACCCCGGCCACCAGCTCTGCACCGTCTGCTGCAACTTGCCCATGCCCCCCCGCTTCTCCTTCACACAAATTCAAACAGTTGATGTTCTGAAAGAGCTGCAAAATCTGGACCCCTACAAATCATCTGGGCTAGACAATCTGGACCCTTTCTTTCTAAAATTAGCCGCCGAAATTGTCGCAACCCCTATTACTAGCCTGTTCAACCTCTCTTTCGTAACGTCTGAGATCCCCAGAGATTGGAAAGCTGCCGCGGTCATCCCCCTCTTCAAAGGGGATGACACTCTAGATCCAAACTGTTACAGACCTATATCCATCCTGCCCTGCCTTTCGAAAGTTTTTGAAAGCCAAGTTAACAAACAGATCACGAACCATTTCGAATCACACCGTACCTTCTCCGCTATGCAATCCGGTTTCTGACCTGGTCATGCGTGCACCTCAGCCACGCTCAAGGTCCTAAACAATATTATAACCGCGAACGATAATAGACAGTACTGTGCAGCCGTCTTCATCGACCTGAGTTCAATGTGTTAAATCAGAGGGCCTGTTGTCTGAACATATGGCAGTCTCTATGGGGGTGTCACAGGGTTCAATTCATGGGCCGACTCTTTTCTCTGTGTATATCAATGATGTCGCTCTTGCTGCTGGTGATTCTCAGATCCACCTCTATGCAGACGACACCATTTTGTATACATCTGGCCCTTCATTGGACACTGTGTTAACAAATCTCCAAACGAGCTTCAATGCCATACAACACTCCTTCCGTAGCCTCCAACTGCTCTTAAACACTAGTAAAACTAAATGCATGCTCTTCAATCGAATGCTGCTGGCACCCGCCCACCCGACTAGAATCACTACTCTCGACGGGTCTGACCTAGAGTATGTGGACAACTACAAATACCTAGGTGTCTGGTTAGATTGTAAACTCTCCTTCCAGACTCACATTAAGCATCTCCAATCCAAAGTTACATCTAAAATCGGCTTCCTATTTC